ATTGTTAATCACTTAATCTATTCAATACGAATATCAGCAGATCCATACTGAATAATAAGAACAATTAAAGAAGAAATACTAGTTAATAAACTCAAATCAATTTAGCCAATGAGTCAATGTATGAGTTGTTCATCATGAACATAATTACAAATAAACATTTATGCCTGTTATCTTAACTTCCGGTAAAACTATCTCTCCATTACTAATCATCAATACTAATGTAACATTATTATGATTAAATGGATATTACTGTTAGTAGTGAGTTGATAAGAAAATTGTGAATAGTGAATAACAAGTGAATTGATTTGTGGAACATTTCTAATGACAAATCATATTCTGATGATGAATTATTCTCATCACAACCATCACTACGCCTTCACACTCACACACACACACTCTCTGTATCTCTGTATCTCTCTTCTTCAAATCATCTTGTAAATGATCTGTGAGATGTGATTTGAGTTACTAGACAAATGGAGTAGATGTTATCCACAATCATCAATATGATTGTTTAATGATTGTGACTGAATCACTGTGTTCTCAACACAATAGATCTCATCATGGAACTCTCATTCACATATATATCGGTTTGGTCAGTTGGTTAGTGTGAATCATCTCCACCAATACACACACGTTCATGCACATTCACACACAAGTTAACTGTGTATGATGAAGTTGACTTGCCAGGAACACACAGTAGTTGACGGTTGAATAAGTAATGTGAGAATGCGTGTATTCTCGAGTGTGGACTTTGATTCCTTCAATGACTGATTGAAATATTTTCAATGCATTGTAATGTAGTGTAATGTAATGTGGAATAATTGTATTTCGATCATTTCGTAATACTCCTCACATCGATATTTTGATGAGTGATGAATGGTAATATTGGTGATTGATGAGTGGATTGAGTTCGTCCTTGTTAAACGATTGTTGTGTATTGGTGTCAGTGATGTTGTGAGAGGTGAACGAAGACGATGTGATATTACTGTATTGAACTGATTCGAAATAATTATACTGACCACCCTTATTATTGTTATCATTATTAGTTTTTTGATTGAGATCATAAACAGATTGATGTTAAACGACCATTGAAAACCTGAAATCACTGGACTCCTCAGCAGTGCACATACACTACCACGCTCGGAGGATTCGAACCCGGGGCCTTCCGTCTAGCGTGCGAACGCTTAACCTACTGGACCACTGAGCCAGCATCAAATTGTGGTAATGTCTAACCTCAGCCAATCCATGAAGTTGCGCGACCATCTTCCATTGTACTGAGATAGACGACTGTTTCTACCCGACATGGATTAGCTCCACTGGTCACGGCTTCTCACCGGAACTCCGAGAATTTTCTCACGAAGCTAGTCACTAGTGAGCGCATGGTAATTATCAATCGAAAGCCTAACAATCTCCACAACCCCTAAACTTATTATTATTATTATTATTATTATTATTATTATTATTATTATTATTTTTATTATTTTTATTATTATCCTTAGCATCTGTTTATTGAATGACGTCATGTGAATGGAACAATGGAATGATTGCTGAATCTGATTGATGGTGGAAAATGTTACCGTTAGGTTGAGAATTTCTGATTGTGTGAGGTATTCCACTCTCGTAATCGATGTGAATTGGTTCTGTTTTGTGGTAATTCCACATTATCTTATCAGAAGTGGAGTCCCACACTAGGACGAAACGGCCGTCCAGTGCTTCCAGGTTTTCCATGGTGTTCTAGCTTCGATTAAATCATGATTTCAATTATTGAAATTACACATTAGTTCATCGAATCAGTGACGAGTTACTGTTCTAATGATTGTGAACATAGAGAGTGGTCGACATTGTGTGATGAACACTGCAAATCCCAATACCGTTTATATCTATTTATCAAGAGTTGTGAGAGTTTATCAGCACACAGATCCTCGACATGGTGACAACATGGACACGAGTGATGGAGAATATTTGAATGGAAGTGTTGTGAATGTGATGATTCGACATACAGCTAGATATACAGACAGAAAGACAGATAGATAGATGGATAGATAGGTGGTTGTTGAAATACTAGTTGAGATCTGTGTGATCATTGAGGCGTGTTCGAATCTCAGTATTTATGTACACGTTTATTTTTTGGAACATTGCTAAGTTTGTTTGTTTGTGTATGTGTGTGTGTGTGATGAGAGGCATGAGAATGATGAACACAGTCATGAGTAATTTTCGTCTATTTAATTGTATCTAAATCCGATCAAGAATTGAGTACAAATCACTGATTGACTGACTGGTTGTTTACTTGGTCACTTTCATATTAACATGTGTTCATATATACGTGTATGTGTATGTGTATGTGTATGGGTATGCAATCAGATTGTATGTATAGTGAGAGACATTACTGGACTGAGACATTCACTCGTCACTATGTCATGTAACGATTTTCTTGTTGATGGAAATCTGTGCATTCCATTCGAACGTAACTGTAATTCACAATATAATAATGAATATTGTACCCATCACTACTACTTCCACTTCTACAACAACTACTCCTACAGCTACATCTACTATCACTACTACTTCACCTACTCATCAATCTATTCTACCTGATTTAATCGATTGGAAATTATTATGAATGTTGTTGTTGTTGTTGTTGTTTCAATTTGTAGCAATGTATTCACACTTTCCAACTGAACATCTACAGTAGTAATAAAATGAAGCATGAATCTTACCACCATGGTGACCACACAATCCTCCTAATTATGATTACCGAGTTCATTGTAATGATTTCATAATTGAAATATGTGTGTTTGGGTATTATTTGAGTATGTATGAACAAGATGTTATTTGGAAGTGATTGAGAATGGTGATGATTTGCAACGATCTACTTACTCATTGTAAATTCTAATGAATTTCACTAGTTCTCAATTGTAACTTGTCAAATGATACGTTGTAATTTAGTTAGTCTTTCCCAATGCTCACACCTCTACTTCGTTCTATATATTATAGTGTGATTCATCAACTACTATGTATTTGTGTTTGTTGATCTACTCAGTCAGTGTATGTTTGTAATCACAGTGTTTGTGAATCTATGTAGTTTGATTGAGTTGTATTATTTGGGTGATGTGACTATGTATTTTCATTGATAATACGAATCAGTGTATGTGAATGAGCGTTGAGAACGTGTGAGCATTGAAGATGTGATTCGTTGTAGTTTGACACTCCTTATTCGTAATATGCATCCTGACCCCTAATACAATTTGTCGAACTTCAACGTTGATTTCGCTATCTAGCTTTTAATATCTTAACTTCTATTTCAGCTTCCATTGATGTTAGTTTTCAACTTCATGCAATCTGCTATATATTATGTTTATCTTGGTTTGTTCTCTCTGGATAACTTCGTAATGTGTTATATAATTTCACTCCACGAATTATATTTTCCGCTACACTTCCTTGTTGTTACCCCTACTAAACCGACTTGTGAGCCTACTGTATCTGTCATTTTTCCGAGTCTGTTTTAAACGATAAAAAATGTCCCTAATATTTTGACTCGTGTTGATAATGATGATAATACAATCTGATTTCAAATGTTCTTCCGTCCTGATTATAATTGATAATTCGATGTCTATAGTTCACTACTTACTTGCGCCTGTTACTCCCAATGGAGCATAGGTTGCCGACTAGCAATTTCCAACTCACTCTGTCCCGGCTCTTACTTTCTAGTTCTATCCAATTGTTGTTCATTCTTCTAATATCTGTCTCCATTTCTCGGCGTAATGTGTTCTTTGGTCCTCCTATTCTCCGTTGGCCTTGAGGATTCCAAATGAGGGCTTGCTTTGTGACGCAGTTGCGTGCTTTTCTCAATGTTTGTCTGGTTTGTTCTCTCCCACAGTAGGTTGTTGCTGATTGTGTCTGGCTATATATATATTTCTTTCTACTTTTTGCATGTTGATAAATGTATTTTCATAGGGTTGAATTGACTAGTCAGTTACAGTGTTTTATAATAATAACAACAAACTAAAATCATAAACATTTACGATCAAAACCTCATACCGGTTGAACAGGTAAGTGGTTAACTGGACTCATTATATTAGTCTAAAATGTATTAACGTTTAAACTATTAAGTTTCTAGGTGAATATCAATAGCATGACGTAGGTATATTTAGTTGACAAGTGCTAGGTGAATCAAAACTCGTATCCTTATTTCTATTACTACCATGGAGACTAACTCATAATAATTATAGTTTTAAACATGGATAACTACTGGCAACAGAGTAATCACTGGAGAGGTGTTTCATCCTAATAAGAGACAACATATTTAGTGCATAACCGCGAACCTGTGAAAAAATTAATTCCAAGAACTTTGAGTCCGTCAATAAGAGCATATGTGGTCACTATTGATAAGTTTCTCACTAGGAAAAAATACCTAACTGATGTCAGTCTATAAAGAAAATCATATTTGACGGAACAATGATCCGTTTATCATTATAATGATAATACATTTGTATTAGAAGGGGTTTTGTGACGATTGTAGTAATTTCAACAGTTGAGATCATGAGTCAATTGAAGCTAGACCACCATGGAAAACCTGGAAGCACTGGACGGTCGTTTTGTCCTACTATGGGACTCCTCAGCAGTGCACATTCACGACCCCGCCTCGTGGGATTCGAACCCAGGACCTATCAGTCTCGTGCCAGGCGCTTAGCCAACTAGATAATACATTTAATAACAATATACTACTTAATTACTTCCGTAATTAGTAATATATGTAACTCAGTATAAACAGTAATTTCTCATGTAATCTATTCACACTCTACTATTTGTGATCACATTATAATTGTTTACTCATAATAGGAACATTTAGAAAGGGGTTATTCAGAAATTGACCAATCAGATTGCTATGCGTAAATTCCTGTTTTTTGATTGGTCCAATTGATTGATAATGATGGTAATAATAATAATTCAATCATAGAACTATTTAATCATAACTAATTACTAATCTTCATAAGCATAGAATGGAATTTAAATCTCCTATGAATATGCAAAAAAAACATTATCATAATGAAAATTCATTAACAAATCCATATTATAAAGAGATGTTTCATTCAAGAGAATGTATTCCAACGAATTTACCATTATTACATAATAATAATAATAATAATAATAATAATAATAACTTTACTTATCAACATTTTAAGTGTGAACCATCAATGATTCAATCTGTATACCCTTCCATAGAAAATCAATTCATACCATCGTCATTATCATCATCATCATCATTTACATTGGCAACATCGTTAGCATCGTTAGCGACGACAGCGTCATCACCATCAATACAGACATCAATTGTAAATGAAGTGAAATATTCCAATCATTTGAATTATATACAACATTTTAATTCACAAATGAAATCCCCAATGTATGATTTAAAGCCTACATCAATGTATCATTATCGTAACAATACTTGTGTTAATAATAATAATAATAGTAATAATAATAATAATAATAATAATAATAATAATAATAAATTTTCGAAACACACTGATGGATCAAGTTCAATAACCTATGGATTGATAGAAACGGTAAATTCTAAAAACTCAGCTTTGTTAATTCATAATAAACAAACTTTAATGAAACGTAATAAAATTTATAAAAGTACTGAATTGAATGACACTATTAATTGTAATTCTAGTGTTGAAGAAGGAGATGATGATGACGGCGATGAGAAGAATAATGATGATGATGATGATGATGAGGAGGAGGAGGAGGAGGAGGAGGAGGATGATATCAACGATACAGTTGAAGAGAGTGGAGATGTCTCCTCCAGTAATTGTACTGATGATATTCAGCATTTATGTCAAGTAAGTTAATGTTATTTCTAGCCTTGATTTATGATATAATCTAAGATAATGAAAAAATTTCTCGTCTCAAGTTGAAATTTTGTTTCATTACACAACAAAGTTGTGTAAGAATAATCATCTGCTCACTAGTGACTGACTTCAAGAGGCATTTCCTGGAGTTCTAGTGAGTAGCCGTTACCAGTGAAGTTCAAGCAGGTCTGTTATGAGATATCAACTCACTGAAGACAATGGTGTACGGTGGCGCAATGTCTTGGATTTGTTAAAGTTAGACATTAACACTGTCGGATGCCGGCTCAGTAGTCTAATAGTTAAGCGCTCGCGCGCGAGACTGATAGGTCCTGGGTTCGAACATGATAAGGTAGGATCGTGGATGCGCAGTGCTGAGGAGCCTCGTACTAGGACGAAACGTCCGTCCAGTGCTTCCATGTTTTCCATGGTGGTCTAGCTTCAATTGACTCATGATTCCAACTATTGAAAGTTATTAAATGTTCGTATCAAATATATTACTACTACTACCACCACTACTACTACTACCACTACTACCATTACTACTACTACTACTACTACTACTACTACTACTACTACCAATACTACTACCACTACTATTACTACTACTACTACTACTGTGGTATATGTCACTTATACAGACAGATATAAGTTGTATGTATCGAAAATTGAAAGTGGGATTCGAAGAAGAGAAAGGGAAACAAAGAAGTTCGGATAGCATCAAGAATGTACAAACAAGGGAGTTTGTAAGAGAAAATGGAATGACTAGAAATAGAAGTTACCAGTGTGCAATGAATGAATACATAAGTTTGGTTACAATCATTACTAATCGTAAAACTACTACGCAGACAGGGACAACCAAATGTATTTCAACACAAAATTACAGAATCTCTTTATAAAATCTGAAAACTATGCAGGAAATACTTCATTTGCAAAATGTTCATCATTTGTTTAAGATTTTATTGTCCCCTGATTTCCATACCAATCACTCTCTGTTCTCATTCTATTCTATTCGATTTACTCAACCTTCTGTCGACAGCCGTTCCATTTCTGATAGGAGCTACATACTACTTATATCTGTCGACATCAGTAACACACACCACACTACAAAAACTACTAATAATATTATAATTTTTCTCAATGATAGATTTTATGAAAGCAAAAATATAGAGATTAGCAGAATGAGATGACTTAATTTCAGTGTTATGGATCCTCATCAGCTGTTACTTATAACCTAGAAACAATAATACCAGGTATTTGCAACTAATAATGTACATACTTTACATCAGATTCAAATGAAGATTAATCAAATAATGCCAACAGTATTGTGCGTACGAGACAGAAAATTCTAGGTTGGAACGCCAAGTGCAGGACCGTAGATGTGCACTACCGAGGAGTCCCACATTGGGACGGAACGGCCGTTCGGTGCTTCCAGGTTCTCATGGTGGTCTAACATTAATTAACTCCAGAATTCAACTATTAACTTACTCAAATCTTTACAAAACTTCCTTCTGATAATATATACACAGCAAGAGCTTGTGTGCCGCCACTGAGATGGCATCCGATGTATTATTTATTTAACGTTAATGAATTCACAGTACTGCGAAACCATCTGTACCTTTCAGTAAAAATTATTATTCTACTGTTGTCTATAATAAATTTGATCAATGAATGTTTTATTGATTTTTAAGGTATGCGGTGATCGAAGCAGCGGTAAACATTATGGTCAGTATACATGTGAAGGGTGTAAAAGCTTTTTTAAACGTTCTGTACGTAAATCAGCCAATTATGTATGTAGATCTGGTGGACAATGCCCAGTCGATGCACAAAGACGTAACCAATGTCAAGCATGTCGTTTATCACGTTGTTTATTAGCTGGTATGAAAAAATCTGGTAAGTTATTAATTTCAATGAATAGTTTACAACAATTTGAGAATAATATATACTACTGTTTATTTATTAGTTAGTAGTAACGTGTTTGTTTATTTCATTTCGTACTGTTAAATAGTACTAATTTGTTCACACACTGAATTTGGGAAATAACACTTTCGTGTGATTAACCTTCACTATGAGTCTCATGTTGATCTTCAGAATCCACTTCCCCATTAAAATATACCTCGATGTCGTAACTATCAGTATACAGGTTTGTGGACATTTTGTAATTGTCATAGTTTTTAAATCGTCAACTGATCTTAGTAACACAACCATCAGAAACCTGAAAGTACTGGTTTGCCGTTTCATGCTAACATGGGAACCTTCAATATTATAGGTCCCCGAATCTATCAGTCGCTCACACGATCACAACATCGAGACCATTGAACCGGGATCTAATGGTGTTAATGTTGAATTTCAGTCAATCCATGGCACTGCGTGATCATTTTTTGTTGTCTTCAGTGAGTACTTTCTCCACACCCCACATGGTGCTTTTTCCGAAAATTTATTTGTACCAACACACAAAACGAAATGAAGTGACATTCCACCGGTCACAGCTTCTTATCAGAATTCCAGGAATCATTTTTGAAAGTTGGTCACTAGAGAAAAAAGAGGAATATTGTCAACATAAGGTTTCGTATAGATTATAAATTCCTTGATGCTGAGTTATGAATGCGCACTAATGAGAAATCTCATACAAGAACGAAACAGCTATCCAGTACTTCTAGGTTTTCAATGGATTACTTCATCATTTAAAACTGTTTACACATAGCTCATCTTTTCCAAATCATCAGTCAGAATGCGAAGTAAACCAATAAAGTACCCACGTTCATTTAGACTTTATAACACATGTGATTATAAAAAGATGGAATTTAAGCCCACAGTTCACTATAAATAATAAATTTCATTCTGGTCAAAAAAGTCATTTATGATTCAAAACTAAGCAACAAGTTTATAACTAGTTACTTGAAGTCAGACATTAACACCACTGGATGCGGAATTAGTAGACTATGTAGTAAACATTCGCATGAGAGACCTAAGGTCTTGGGTCAGATTCCCGACTACAAGGTCATAAATATATAATGTTGATGGGACCCAAACTAAGACAAAGGGGCCATCTAATGCCAATATAATTTACGAACAGTAAAAGCTATTGACAATATTTATTCATATCAGAAGGGGTTTTGTGGGGATTGTAGTAATTTCAACAGTTGAGATCATTGAGTAAATTGAAACTAGACCATCATGCAAAACTTGGAAGCATTGAACGGCCGTTTCGTCCTATTATGGGACTCCTCAGCGGTGCACATTCGGTCAAATACAACTTCATGATATATAATTGTTCAAAATTCTAAAATTCCAATTTATGAATATTCATACCTTACATAGATACAAGTTTCTTATTAACATTATGAGTTCCAGGTCAACAGTTTACATTTGTAATTTTGGTCACTAAAATCTATTAATCGGTCGATAGGTAGGTAGGAACTATTTGATTCATTCAGTCTCTGTTATGTTTATTCAATACATAATTAACTTGTGTATAATAGGTGAAAATGTTGCATCTGACGACATGTATTAAAAGCATAAATACTGTTGATATGGACTTATTCGACTTCGGCAATAAATCAAAATGATCTATGGATACATCACTGTTTTTATGCGATTAATGTAACTTTACGTAATCAATAACTTATGTCCTGAACGAGAACACAAACGGGGACAAGTAAATGTATTTGAACACTCAAATTACGGTATCATCTGAGAACCATACAGTAAATACTTCATTTGTAAAATGTCAATCAATCGTCATAGACTGCACTGTTCTCGGTCGTCTCTTTTCTTTGATCTTATTAACCTTCTGCTGTCAGGTGTTTGACTTTGGGTGGATAATACAGACTAGTTATATCTGTCGACATCAGTAGCACACATTATACTTACTATGAGGACACATATTTGTAGTGTCATAAGAATCAATTTTTTACAATGACTTAATTTTGTTGCGGTTTACATTCTGTCATGTCAATCTGAATGGTTTAAGACTGATAGTTATAACTTTTTGGTAGGAGCTTAGAAATCTGAATTCATTTTTATTGTTTGTTTGTATCTTCTTATTGATGTTTACGACTGGAATTGATCAGTCTCTTAATGGTATATGTACACCCTGTGCGGATCACCTCGATATTGCCTTAAGTCACAAATAGTATAAGCGGAGATGATGGTGGCTGGCAGTGGAATGCAGGACGTGTGTTTCATCCTAGATTCCACTACTAGCCACCATCTATCTTTGTTTATGATTTAGAAATCTGTCTAGAAATCTAATTGGTCACTGATGAGTAATTTGTAGTGGTTTATTCAATTTTTATACTGATTTTCTCAATGGAGAATTATTGAAAATTAATCATGACTATAATACTTAGTTTATACAGAATAAATGGAATCCAAGTGTGTGTGTGTATGTGTGTGTACGTGTTTCGTCCTACTTTGAACTCGTCAGTTAGATGTGTTTATATATCTCAGGTGATTTGATACTGACTTCGGGATTAAAACACAATAATTTTTGCTTCAGATACCTATGTATCGTTTATCTAGTTACCAAGTTCATATCTATCAAGATAATCTACATAGAATCCATATATTTCAATTAAGATTGATCAAAATTCAATCAACCTATCAACAACACAATGATCCAAATCATTAAATGTTAAATGAATATTTGATTATAGGAATGAATTATGAAATTATGAAACAATGATTAACTGACAATCATATTCATTTGTGCTTATTTACAATTAGTCTTACTCTTACAACACCTTTTAACAATATGATCACTTCTCTTAATTTCCAGTGAATAGGATGAAGAGGAAATGTTGAAGCGATCAAAGATATGTACCACACTGAGAGTACTTCTACGAGGGTCATAGTAATTAGTTTATGGGATAGTTATATGAATACGCATGATTACATGTTGCTTTAAGCACTATAATAAGTGAGAATTTATGTTAACCAATGTAAGTTTCAGAGTAACCCATCAATTAGATTAGTAATAACTATGTAGTCAATTCATTGTAGTTTCAAATTTCTCAACAAATTACCTCATTAAAATAACATAAATATGCAAATGAGAGTAGTTGATTCAGATGACGAGTCCCAAGAAGGACCAAAAACGTACATGTTAAGCTTCGTCATTAGCCATTAGCCAACTTTTATTATACTCAATAAAACCAACAAACTGGTAGTAAAATGAATGTAAGTTGAAAACTGTTGCTACATGTAATTGAAGTTGAAACTATGAACGACTGAATTTCAATTCTATGATCTGAAGGGGACATTTTCACAATAAGATTTAAAAGTGTTATTACTTTATTCCTAGTCATTACGACAATGTACACTATTGAAAATATACTTGAAATGTAATTACTCTTTCACAGTGTACATAAAAAATTGGTCTTAGAAAAAGTAGCTAATTGAATTCCAAGAATCACTGAATAGATGTTTCGTCCTAATATGGTGTTCTTCAGCATTGGAGATCCACAACTCAAACATGACTTCAATTCACTACCTATTCACAATTAGAGATAAAGAGGATTTTACTGCTGTTTATTTTAAACAAAATTGACTAAAATAGTTGTTTGACTAATATCATTGAAAAGAGCGAAATCATCTGTTCTCTTTTTGTCATAAATTACTTGAATCTAATCAGATATTTATTTCAATAGTTGAGATCGTGAGTCAATTGAAGCTAGACCATTATCAAAAACCCTGGAAGCACTGGACGATCTCTTCGTCCTATTGTGGGAATCCTCAGCAGTACTCATTCAAATTAAATTACTATATCCACGAAAACATCTTCTGATACTAATCAAAATATGCTCACTAGCGACTGGATTTAAGTGTTTCCTGGAGTTCTAGTGAGAAGTAGTGACTAGTGGAGTTCGACCGGTTTTGTTGTGGATTAGTTGAAATTAGACATTAGTACCGTCGAATGAGTGCTCGGTGGTTTAATGGTTGTGTTCGCACATGAGACCAAATGCCCTAGGTTCAAATCTCTCGAGTCGGGATCATGGCTGCTCACTACTGAGGAGTCCTACAATACAAAGTAACGATCGTCCATTGCTTCTAGGGTTTTCATAGTAGTCTAGCTTCAACGATTGAAATTACTATAATATCCACAAACACCCCTTCAGATATTGAAACTGATTATATCATCTAGTTGTTTATCTATTTATCAATCTTTATATCTTCCTCCCGGTATTATTCATACTCCCTATCACTGTTTCTAACTCTCATGCATTTAGATACATAATGATAAGTAAAATAATCTATCAACAGTTGTTTTTTTTCTACGTTGCTACCTCACTACTACTACTACTACTACCAATACTACTATTATCATTATTACTAGTAGTATTATTAATGTGACAAGTTAATTATACTCTACATGGATGTTTTATTATATCATTATTACATAGTCAATTTATCATTTAAGCAAAATGGTTGTTAACTAAACGCTAATTTTTAAAATAAAAATAAAAATTTTCACACGCGAATAGAATCCCATTTGTTTGTTCTGGGGTGAAAAAGAGAAACCACTCTCTCCCCCCCACTCCTCTTATCCAACGAAAGTCGAATAATGTACAGATCATAATGAGGACGGCAAAAAAAAACAATGAATCAGGCCAATATGAACATGGTGATATAACTCAAAGTATTCTTAGTACAATAGTGTAGTTAGTATAGTTTCAACGAATAAAATAGAAGCAACCACTTGATAGATAGATAGATAGATAGGTAGGTAGATAAATAATGTATCTTTCAGTTGAGTTCAAAGAGGTTGGTGGCGTTAAATAATAAAAAAAGCGAACCATACCGATGAAGAAAAAGCATGAAACGTAATGCGGGTGTATAAAATGAAGTCAACAAGACTTCATACATTCATTCATTCATTGAAACAAATAATG